GTATAATATTTAAACTAGATTCATCTATTTTTGATACAAAGAAATAATCTACTATAATAATATTAATTTTTCTTAACTCCATTATGCCCAAATATTTGAATGGCATAGACATTTAACAATAGATTCGGTGGAATATTTAAATTAAAACAAAAAAATAATATATTTTTTTTTAAATAGCTTGTAGCTAAGTAAAAAAATATAGCNAATTAAAACAAGAAAAAAATAATTTTTTTTATATAGCTAGTAGCTAAGTAAAAAAATATAGTGATTTTTGTACTTACCCTGAGTGCCGACTAAAATCAAAGGTATTTCAGCTGAATTGCGGTAATGTGCCATTTTTGTGTAATAACCATAAACCGCATTGAAACTGGTCTCGCTCTCCAAGCTAAAAACGAATATGACAGCGTCCACCCACGCGGTAAACTGCAAATAAAAAGACAAAAATCATAATAAACACACTATTCGGTATTATTAAGGTATTTTTATTTGACGGCTACTGTTTATCTTATTGTTCAAATAACAAGACGAGCGCAGCGCTGCGGACAACAACAACGTGACAGCAATAGCGTTGCGCCGAATCGACGACCCCCGACGATCGATACACACGGGGGGGGTTAAATAGTGATCGATTTAGAGAAGAATTTTTGAAGAAGTCAAGGTTAACTCTCCCCCGACACGACCCCTAACCCTCTAAACAAATTCGAAAGCCGGTTTGTTTTCGATATTTTTTGTTATGTATCTAGGGGTGTGTATACTTGTGTCTGCACGTTCTTTTGTCATCTGGTGAAATTCGTTAAATTTTTTAATAACAAAGTGGTTACCCTGTAAACTACAACAACTTGGTTAACCACGACGATCGAGAACTATAAGAGCAATATGAAAAGTTTGTTGACTAGTTGAAACTTCGACGTGCAGCAAGCAATGCCATTCGATGACTGGCTGTTCCATTGACACTCGATTTAATAGCTAATTGATCACAGTTTGTTTATCAATTAACTCGCATTGATTAATTGCAAGTTCCAGAAAATATCAAAAGAAGTAATTTATAGATGATAAAGCGATATGAATCGCGATTAGTGGTAGAATGATGAGAATAACAAGTGCCGAACAAAACATAAACACATTAAATTGTACACTCAATTTGTTTGCCGTTAAGTAACGCGATAACAACACATTTCAAGGCAGCACTTAAACACTTTCATTTAATGGACGCGATAACAACTCGTATGTTGATATTGTCGTAAGAGTCTAATTAGAGCTGATTCCAAACACCCAACATAATGAAATATGTAAAACCAATGTATTCTGCACAGTTATTCAACAGTGTGTTCAAATGACAGGATAATGTATAATTTAGCGGCATATTGCGACGTACAAAAATGTAATAAATTTGTTTTCGTTGATATTTCAATGATGAATGACGAGGGGATCTGTTGCAAATTTAATTGAAGGGTTTACACAAATCTTTATTGTGCATATTACGGTTAGTAAGTATAAAATATTTGTTATTACAAGGACAAAACTGTTACAAATGCATTTTACGCAAACCATTTTCAAACAATTGTGCAGCACTTCTTTTTCATTATTTGGAAACAAAACATCTCAAAATTATTTTTCTATCACAACTGGTGTATTTGACAAATACGTGAGTCGCTACACGCAACAAAACTGAAAGTCTTTTATACCGTTGAATTTGTCTAGATAATCTAAAGTTTTTTTTTAAACTTAAGCTAAAAAACCGGGATACATTTGACATATCGGATTACACAATCAGCAAGAAAAGTAAAAAAGAAAAGATTAATGGGAAGCGTAGTGGAAAACTGGAAGAAACATTTGGAGAAAACTGTCTTATTTTTTACAAAAATGAAAAATGTTTTGAAAAACAGCGACAAGTTTTCACAATATTGTTCATAAAAGAATATTAGTTATAAGTTGATACGTTTTGTTGCTTCCTTATCTACAGAAACAACTAACATATTTCCACAAACACCTTTACACAACGAAGTTTTCTTCCGAATTGATCGTTATTTATTTCAAGAAAACGGTTACATACGAGTAAGACCGTATAAAATATATTAAGGCACTAGAGAGTTTCCATTTACCTCTTGGGTACAGTTTAAAAGATACTGTAATACGTCGTCTGATCGAAAAATAAAACTCAAGTTTGGTACACGCGGAATAGATTTCTGGAGATGAGTACAATACGTTTTATTGATTAATGGAGATATTTGAGACTCGAATGATAATAACTCGACGACAATGATGAAATTTGTACGTAATATAATATGAACTTTTACAATGTGCCGTTTGCTGAATGAGTTTTATTACCTGAACGCGGTTTGGAAAAGCAGTGGGATATAATTTATACGAAGTTATGAGCACCGAAACATACACACCACTCTTTTCAAAAGGTTGGAAAACTTTTTTGTGTTTCCATTCCGTAACGAAGTAAGTGCTTCAGTTAACCTAGAGTTTAATAGCTGCTTTTACCATGTGAGTACAAAAGATCCTAAACATGTGTATAATATAATGTAATTTTTCTGAAGAACAGTGTATAAAGTTTATTACAACGGTGAATGGTGTAGAAATTATGACAGATGTAAGTATTTAACGCGAATCCGGAAAACCTTTTGTCTCTCCTAATAATCTTTTACGTGAGCGGCGAACAATAGAAATTAATCATATACTATGCTGTGTTACTCGAGCTCCTCCCACAGGTTGTAAAAGGGATATTTTTCGTTGCATTGTACTTACCGCAATGTGCCATTTACACGACTGTTAAGGGCGTATGTTTGGGTTAATAATTGACAAGATGAATACACTAAATACAAGATGAATGTCACAAAATTAAGAAAGCGTTACGAAAATTACTGCGGAAACGATCAGAGTAAAACATGAAACCACTAAATTTGAAAAAAAAAACTATCGAGGTAAATGAAAAAGTACAAAAGGTCAGGCACTAATTCCAAATAGTCACGTCGACGACACCAAAGATGAACCCCGAAAGGAATGAAAAAATCGGATTGACTTGGTGGAGTATTTATTGTACTAGTCTCCACTTTAATAAAATAGCGATAGATGCGACTACTGAAATTGTCAAAAACTGTGGTCGACTAAAGCAAATGTGCGAGTAGAATAATATGTTTTAAAACAACGGGCCATTTTAGTTTAGTATACATAGAAAAAAAATAAACTAAACAGTAACCGTTTACTTGTTTACTTCATGAAATCTAATGTGGTTGTTAAAACAAGTTCTTTGTTTGATCAAAATTAAAAAACGGAAAACATCCAAACAATATAGTATAAATCCTCTCATAATTTATCGTAGAATTGCTTTTTATTATTGTTCTATAGCTGAGAACAATTTTTTTCTGTTAAATTATCGAAGAAATAAAGTGAAAAATAATAAAACTTTTATAGTGAAGGGTAAACCGGTCACTTAGATTGTAAAGAATGAGCTTAGTGTAATAGAAGGTAAGTTACCTCAACTGAGTAAGAATGCAGCAGGTATTAAACAAACAATTTTTGGGCACATACACACATATATGTACAGTGAACTTACTCGGCGCTTTTAAATGGGGAGATTTAAACGAAAACGCCGAAGAGAGAGAGTGAACATAAAAAAACCAGCAGAGTCCGTTAAATTGACAGAGGCGGCACCTAATAAGATTTACAATAGTCCAGACCGCCAAGGCAGTTCAGAGGCGACACTATGACGACCGTCTGCGGGTAATAAGTTGTCGTTTACGTTGGACTTACGGAGAGTAATAAAGAAAAGGAAAAATATGAGCTACCTTTATCAAATTGGATCAAAACTTGTTTTGTTCGGTGTCTCGAAAGTGAAAAAATAAACACACGCGCAACAAATACTGTGAAAATGTATAGACACAAAAATTTCCCGTAAGGGAATATAAAAAGTCTCCTCTTCTATCGTTCTAATCTTTAAAGGTATAAAGAATAAACGTGACTTGTTGGCTAGATTTAGAAAAGTTTGAAAAAAAAATCAAGTCAACTGTTAGGCAAATAACTGTGTTTGGCTAGGATTATGGTCGGATTTTATTTTTGTAAATTAAAGGTCCAGATGAAAAAGGTCAGTCGATCTAATTTGTCGCTCCAATAGGTTTTGACGCATAAAGAGTAATCAAAATAAAAACCACCTACCTTCGCTCAAGAGGCAAAAAATAACGAGAAAAATAAAATCCAAGGCAATTTATACTTGGCATAATATTTGATATCAAATAAAATGAGGAGCTGTGAAAGTACTCAAAGGCAAAAGTGAGATGAGGTGACACAGTATGTATTATTCCTACGACGTAGAAAATCCATAAAAACACAATATATTTGTACAAGAATGTACTTAATATTTGAAACAGTGTTTGGTAATAATATTAAAAAACATTTCAAAATGAAAATATTATATCGTTACAAAGTTTGCGTTTTCTTTGAAGTTTTTCAACCGCTTGCTGATATTCGATAAGTAAATAACTACTTATCGTTATCTCATCAGAAGTGGTCCGTTGCAAATATCGAAATGAAACCTTTAAAGTACTGTCAGTATATTTTATTCATAGAAAGTTCAGCAAGAGATAACAATTTTAATAACATATAATAGATTGCTGTTAATTTTCTTGTAGAACTACAATGTGACATTTTGAATTTTAGAATCGGTTGACAATTATGTTAATTCATCACTTATACTATGTATACTACATAATAATTTTACTGTTGATGTAGATCTTAAACAGTTGTGACCTAAATATGTCATACGTCTATTGCGACACATATAATGCATTAAATATTCACAAGTTCAGGAAAACACTAAGTTGATTTCTGTTGACGGCAACAAGAGAGCACATTTTCGTTAATATTTAATAGAAATACATTCTCACGTGAATTAACATTTTAAGTAAGCAAAACATTGAAAAAGAAACAAATATTTCCAATTTTCTTAATGTCATCTCAAAATACATTATTTTTCGTAAAACGATAAATACTTATTTACTTTTTGTTATGATCTAAAAATGTTCACATAACGCAAGCAAAATATAATTGAAGAGATACCGTAAGTGTTAGGAGAAAAGAAAATGCAATTTTGGTAGGCTTGTGTATAAAAGATTTTGCAGCTGCCGTTATAATTGAATTGCCGTTTTCGATGGAATTATAAATGAAGACATATTTTTCATGCGATTTTAAAGGTCGTCAAAACGGATTAAAAGATATTGTGTACCAATAAATAAATAAAAATTTGATCAAACGATAAGCCACCCGGAAAATAAAACAAACGAGAGGTAGGCAAACATTGTTTAAATGTTTAGGCTGCCACAGCGAATAATAAATAACTTGGTAAATGGTTCTATATAAGTAAAACTACCGGAAAATGCTTAAAAACTTTGACATTAGCACAACTAAGAAAAGATTGATACTTTTCTGAGAACGTTAAAAAATAAACTATATAAATCTTTTACTGGATGGCCAATTTGTTTTATATTTAATTTAAATGGAGTCGTTTTTGGAATTTTGATACGATTTAATTAATTTTATTGTGAATTTATATTGAAAAAAGTATATTCATATTTGATTTTTATTAATTATTTATAAATTAAGTTAGATATATAATTAAGGTATATAATAAAGTTATTACAGATGTAATTAAGGTAGTTTTAACATTATAAAATCCACCAAAATTGGGACAAATATAGATGATATTCCATAGTGATTAAAATCAAAACCAAAAAAAAAAAAAAAAGTTAACTTTCTTAATTCGATTATTCTGCCTTTCGTTAGTTAATTATAATTTCAATTATGAAATTTAGTGTTCAACTAGTACTTGATAGAAATAGGAATACTTAGTATTCAACACTTTTTTTAATTCAGTATTGCTATTAACATTTATTTGATCAGTAGACCAAACAAAGATAAAAATAAAAAGAAACTTTACACATTTTAAAAGGATTTTTATTAGACAAACGATACTTTATATTGATGCTCAAAAAATAATTTTTGCAAAGTTTTCTCTTTATTTATTCAGTACAGTTAAAAATTATTTTAAAATTAATATTAAACACTACATAACGTTTGTAATTAGTAAAACAATTTTAATTGACAGTTCCTTCAATATCCCCCGGCGTGTGTTGAATTTATAGACAAGAAGATTCAATCTCGTTTAAGCATCTTAGTATACATAAAAATAATAAAATCAGTAAAAAATGGTGTACATTTTAAAGTGATTTAAAACAATGTTCATTGTTAAATAAAATACTCAAGATAAGTATTTTTATTTCAGTAATAAAAATACTAATTACTCAATTTAAAATACGTTTAGCAAAAAGTTTTCTTATAAACTTTCTGAATAAATTTCAATAAAAAAGCAGTAAACGTAAACTTTTTAAATAATTCCGATTATATAACTACAATAAATCAATTTCGATACTTCAAGATAAACGTTCAAGTAAAACTTTTGATTTTATTTTATTCGATGTTATAAAATCAATAATAAAAAATTACTATCTGATATTTTATGAAAATATTTGAAGTTTAATTGTCTAAAGTGAAAAAGTAAGTATAAAAATGTGATCAGAAATTTTTATAAAAATAGTTTTTCTAGTCGTAACTTCAAACAAATTATAGTTTATTGAATTACTTTTTTTTTTTTAAAGATATTTTCTGGTTACATTAACTTATAAAACAAGTTTTAAAACATAATGAATAGTTTTTTGAATTAAAATCGGATAATTATTAATAAAACATCGATTATCCAAGATATCACTAGTTGATTGTAATACTAATTTTAATTGTTATCAGCCTTTGGTTATTATTCGACACAATACTTAATTGATAAAATATTTCAATTTTTTATTACATTGTTCGGCATTTCCAAGTTAATAAAATGTTGAAGAGTCAAGTTACTTAATGGAAAAGTTTAATTATGGCTAACTTTAGAACGGAAGTAAATTAAGACATTTTTATCAAACTTCTGGGTATGCAGTGATGGGCGCTAGTTTAGTTTTAATTAGTTTGCAAAGCGAATTTGGTCAAAAGTCTCTTAAGAAGATATTTAAAGTATCAACGTGAACGTCGGATGTGTCAGTTTAAACAGACTGCTATGATTCCTACGATAACGTTTCCAAGAGATTAAGTCGTATATGCTTAATAATCGTCAAATTTATATTGAACAAACTGTCAAAAATACTTCCATTAGATAAGTTATACTTTATGTACACTCGGCGAGGGGAAACGTATTTATTTTTATACATTGCGAAAGATATTAAATAAAAATCGAACAAAAGGGAATGAACTCGAAATCTAATCGCTGTATGCTAACAACAGATGGAAAAACAAAATCGAACGAATCATTATTAAACGCGGCTTTAAAAAGATTGTGTATTGTAATTAGACACTTTGCAGAATAGGTATATGCCGGGGTCACGTGGGGATTTATAGGTTTAATGCTCACCCCAAAAAACTACTAACCCTTGAAGATAAATCTTCCTTTTCGTAATTGAATTTTCGTATGGGGTTGCGATTGCATAGAACTTTTGGAAATAAGAAATTCTATCCCGGATTTGTTTATGAAAACGTTGATTTCAATAACTCTAAGCAAGCTAATTAACATAGGTTGTGTGTGATGGAATAATAAATATGGGTCGTTACAGGCATAGCCAATTAAAACAGTTGGTATTGAACGATTATTTCATAACACAAGAGTCATATTTCACTGAATACATTGTACTACATTACGTGCACTACAATTTCACNTTGTACTACATTACGTGCACCACAATTTCACATAGACATTTTCTATACATCAAGTTGCTCTACCAACTCTGCTACTTGAAACTCAATATAGTGAGACGGGGAAATGTAACGATTTAAATTGAATTAAAATATCTTAATAGAACAGAAGAATTGTTTTTCATAGGAAATCAGTTATCCTCGAGCGATAAACGTTAGCGGGCTAACTGCGACCTGAATGACTAATCGTGAAGATGCGCGAGTTATATTACATAACATTTTTCGTCTGTACACAACAAAGTACTTGTTATTAAATTCTGACAATTTAGTCTTGAGACACACTGACCCTCGTTTGACTCGCGTAGTTTAAGTAAACGTTTGCGTCTTAAAGTTGTTACAATGTCCAAAGAGATGATCGAGTTATTTTAGTCATCTGACAAGGATTTACATATTAAAAAATTACCTGAAGTTCGGGTGAACCCCCTTCGTCTCGTATTAATAGTAGGTGACTATGGCCGTCCACAGATATTTCTTTCTTAAATCGGCCGCCCTCGGGGCTTTCCTCTTGCATGTACGATCCGGTTAAATACCTGTGGACTAAAGCCGATTTTCCAGATGAAAGCGATCCGACGATGCCCAAACGTAAGTCTGGTACAGTCCTGGCCAAGGTCCATTCTTGACTATTCACGAATGAATCTGAAACAAAACAAAAACCGTTATAACACGTACTTTAACACAATAATTATTATATGTTATCGCTTCTGAGGAGTGTAATAACAATTTTAGCCCACTAATTATTAATTTTGTTCCTAAATCTTATTCAAAAAATAATAAAATTCCAGAAATAACTAAAATATTAATTTATTCTAACTGAATAAACCGTTAGCTAATTTAACAATAAAGGTCTGTTCATAATGTCACCTGTAATATAAAAAGAGTTAATCAATCATTTAGGGTTTCGATTACGAGCACCTGTCGCTTTTTTGAACATTGGGTTCAATAAGGTTCATTGTACATATTTTTTAACGCTTTTGTAAGCCTTAATGCACTTCAGTTATGATCTTTTGTCTACTTTGAGACTTCAACACCAAAAATATTGAAAAACAGTATTGACTGCAATAAATATAAGAGTACACTTTTCAAGAGTCGTGTCGCTTAAAAACGATGAAAGATTTTTACTAAAACACCTGGTCAATAATTAAAAAAGTTAATTGAACATATATCAACTATAAGGGTTGATGAAAGTAATACTTTTTAATTAAAATTTTAAAACATATTTGTTGAGGAAAAACTTAATAAGCTAGAATATTTAATAATAAAAAAAAAAAGAGCTACGTTTACGCACAGATTAATATTTTTTTTTATTCTTCTCACTTTTAAGGATTTTTAATTATTAACGATAGAAAAATATTCTGATTGTTTTAAATTCTAAAACTTTTTTTTTTCAAATACACAAGTAACTTTTAACGACAACTACGTCAGAATGTCAGTCGCCAGACTTTAAGTGAGAGGAAATCATTAAAAACTAAGAGTGCGGGCGAGCGAAGTTATTATAATGCAAGAGCACGTTTACAGGTCCTTCAATCGGTAATATTCCGTACAGCGTAAGTTAAGAGGTGACATAAAAAAAGAAAAGAATGAGTGAGATCGGAGACGGCCTATTCATGAGATATTTGCGCGTCGTCAGTAAAACAAAAGAAAGGATCGAGGGGAACAGTGCGTATTGTATTTATAATGTGTTATAATATCTAATGATACGTTTTCATAGTGGACGAGCAACCGGTTTCTCAATATCATCGTTTGTACCCGTTCTGCGCCAACGCGTTTTTTTTCGCTCCAACGACCCAAAGAACAAGACAACGTGCGCTGCTAACATTCGTGAAAGATTATGAAACCGATCGGCGGCATTAGGACTTGAAAGATAACCAACGTTTTTTACTGGCGCCCGGTGAAATAAAAATGCACTGGAATTTCGACAAAAGCTAACACTTTTGGCAGGCAATGAACGGGCAGATCAATTGTGATAAAAAAAATTCACCTCGAAACCGCTGGAAATGAAAGTAATTATTATTGCGCCTTAATAATCCATCAGTCGTGACTTATTCTCACCGGAGAAAGTTATTTACTGATAAACGATTGTTATGGCGGTGACTGTGTTGTTCGAGATGAATTGGCCAAAAAAATTGTACGAGATCAACTGGGTGTCTTGGCAGCAGCACCTGGACGCGGTCACCAACGACCTCAGGAGGGTTGAACGCTACAAACGCGGAATTTATTCACTTATTATTTATCGATGAAATTTCCTAACGAATTCTAACTGAGATTTAATCAATCGAAAACTATAAGCCTTTTTACAGTTGACAGAAGAAAACATTTATGTTTTGCTAGAAAAATGTGCTGAACGTTCGGTTTTTTTTTTTTTTACTTGTGCAATATTTGAAACATTTCTTCCCGTGTTACACAATTACAATTGTCGAAGGTCATTTTTCCCACACGTAAGAAACGTATTATAAATAAAATGTATTAGGTGACAGCTGTGGACACAGTGTGTAGGGTTTCTGTAGTGGGCAAACACCGAAGCGGTCGTGGTAAAACTGCCCGATAAGCAGTACCAGCTATCCCCCTAAACGTTTCAAATTCTACACGGGTATACTTAATGTGCTGAAGAGATCTGAAAGAACAATCGTTACCTGACGAGTACAACACAATAACTAGAAAAAAAGGAAATATTCGATAACCGTCCGATGAAAGTTACAACTTGCCACCAAACCCGTTGAGCCAATAAAGTAATACAATTTGTGGTATTATTATAATTACAATATTCTTACATTGTGGGCTATTCCCCCGAGTGAAGTCATGGCGCCAGTTCATTTTTTATTAATCATATCCTCCGTACCTACTACACTGACGGTATTAAGTGTAATTTACCGCCGAACACGCTACACACTTTGTAATATTTGTTCATCACGAATAAGTTACTCCTCTATCGGTAGGTTAAATAACAGTTTCAAAATAATGTGCTTTAAACTGCTACAATGTAAAGTACATCCAAACCAACTGTTTACGGTTAAAAATATAGAAATGTGTGTTAACAGAAACACCAAAAACATTTATGTTTTTAATAAAATCATTAACGTATTTACATTAAGTGTCGAGCAAAAGCAATTTAACTACACTTTAATGGATTTTACTACACATCAAATGTAAGGAAAGCATCACATCATACTCACACGACGCAATTCATAATAACGCCGACTTATATTTTCTATACGACGAAACTTCTTAAAAAATGTTTGACATAAACTGAAATGACATTCTTAATTGGTTCTTTAAACGTAATAGCCCTACTATAATTACGGTCTTCTATGCGCTTCCGACTCTCTTAATTTGGTACCACAAATATGTAAATACATATCGATTACGTATGTCGACAACAACAACAATTGACCGTATAAGCTGTTAACGATTCCTCGAGTGGCCGATGGGCTTAAAAACTGGTCGGCCGGGAGAAACTCGTGTCATATTTTGAATATTTGATAGTTTTCTGTGTACGAGTAAAAAACATAGCATTGTGATTCGGTTTGTAAACCGAACACGGAATGCGCCAGGAAATAGATTAACAAGTAAAAGAAATAATTACGTTGGTTTGGTTTTTTTTCTAGACACGAAACGCACGACACGATGCCGTGGAGAATTACCAAAGAATACGACGTTAAACACTAAGTGACTTGCTGAACTAAGCTGCTTAATGCACAATTTGCATATTAATTGAGATCTAATGTTATACGCCGAGAAGTTAAATTTCGTGCCAGCGCATAGAACGGAAAATGTGAATAAAAATCGTTAAAGGTCGTCACATGCATAACATTATATACTATGAGTTTTACACGCAAATCAAGAGAACTTTAAAAAGACACGAGGGCGGTTAGGACTTGTCGTACGAGGGGATTCAGCCGGTCGTTTACAGCCGTTCTGCGCCTCTTCCTACACCTCCCTCTAGAAGTCATTTGCTTTTGGCGACGACCACCGCCACTAGACATTTTCATTGGCTTTTTGTCTGTCGCCAGCCACCGCCGATGAGTCACTCAGACTTGGAATAGGGGAAGTGGAGACCGTGCCTTTTGTTTGCCTTGGCGTACAAAAACAATATGTGAGTTTTTACACGTCATGTGCGCACGTCCATTTACTTCAGACCGCTCCATGACGGAAGGCAATCATTCAACGTTAAAAATACAATAAAATAAAGACAGCCAAGACCAGTTGAACTTTTTACTCGTTTTCTAATTTATAAAAGTCTCGTTGAACACGAGTAAAGTACAAAATTAAAACAGACCGTCATTTTTTTTGTGTAAACATTTTGCAAGTATTGTCTTTCACTACAACATGTTGAATGCCAAAGTATAAAATAATTACAAAACGTGAAAATCTGTCATTTTAACAAAAAAAAAGTCTAAACGAAATTCAAATGTTTGTATGCCCTTGAGTTTCCTGCAAATTAGTTTTGTCATTTTTTTTTTTGTTTAATTAACATTTGCGACAATATACAGTAATTCTAATCAGCGAGCCACTCTTGTTGTGTTATTTGTAAACTAGCCAAAAATCGTTGAAAAAATACGCGTGTGCGGCCAATCGAAAGCAAATAAAGAAGCTCTACAATATCGTATCTAGTTGAAATATTTTAGGGCGAACGAACCAAACATTTAATCTAGTAAATAAACGACAACGTTGCAATGATTTCTAAGACTGTAAAAAAAGTCTATTTACTATGAAAAATTGGACTCGGTGTGATTTCATTAATTTTTACACCGCGATTTCTGCAACAATTCTCACAGCTTTAACACTCAGAAATGTTTCACAACAATACTAATAAACGCAAATACAATGAAATGAAACGTATTAATTATAATTGCGGTTTACACGCGCTCAACCATTGGGTTATTACTAATTGCAGAGTAACAGCGGTCCAGTGAAATCGAGAGGGCCCGACCGATAAGATTTTGTCATGTTACGTCTCCGCTCTCCACTGGATCGACTTTCGGTTTCTCTTGCCATAAAAAATAACAACAACAAAATACCAACAGTAGACATGCAACATTTTTGCCCTAGTCGGATACAACTCACGTGTGCCTAGGCAAATCAATGTAAATGTTTTATAGGTACCATCGATTTATGAGTTTTATTTCACGTGACTGTTGCTAGGTTACACCTCGTGTCCACTGAAAAAACGCATAAAAATTCAAGCAGGCACGGCACTCGTTAAAAGGGACGACAGAACAAAATGGTAAACCTAAAGACAGGTCGGCAAGTATTCGACCAGAATACGCAACGAGCGGCTGCATCTCAACAGAGTAGATGCAGGTAAACTTTAATTTTAAAGGGGTTAGTTTATTTATACACCGCGAAATTACTTTTTAAGCAAGTAAGAGAAACACATCGGTTGAGAACCTGTAACACAGTCGATTCGCATAATTTATCGGTAGTATTTTACGGGGTAATAATTTCCAAATCCAATAACATTACTAAAAAAAAAATCGTACGCTCGTCTACGCTGATTTTGACGCACACAGTACTTTGTTTATGGGTTATGTTCTCTACTAAATTATCTGGGACAGAATGTTTTATTGGTTTTATGTCTGGTTATTGCTTCTGCCTACCAAAATCGTTCACACATCAGAAAAATCGTAAAGACGATTTCA